AGAGAAAAAGAACATAGTTATCTTTCCTATAAATTATCCCTTCCCTTCTAAGTCTGCACAATTTGATTTGATGTATTAGATAACCAGTAGATAAAGAAGAGCTCAATAGACAGTGGAAGTTGCTCTGTCTGTTTCTGACTATGCTGGTGTTCTGGAAGTGCAGAACTAACTCCACAGAATAACTCTCTGTCTACTAATTATGAACAGATCTTAAAAGGATGGGAAAGAATCCATTTAAAAATGAATCTGCTGAAAACTGCAAACAATAATTTCTAAGAACACAGCACTGCTGCCGGTATTAACACAACTACTGTCTGAATTCTCAAGATCTTGGTGAACTTACATAAGTATACATCTATATCTGTGGCAAACTTAAATATATTTCAGTGCATATGCATAGCACATGCCAATGGAATTGAAATTAGATGTAAAAATCAAAAAATATGTGTACAAGCCCATAAAATAGGCAGGAAAAAAAAAAAAAGAATCCAGAGAAACCCATTGCATCTTCACTGTGCAATTTTGCTGTCCTAAAGAAAACTCAAGGGCAAGTGGCAGTCAGAAAACACTGAACTGATTAGCTGCAAACCTGGTTCCAGGAACTCTCACGTCAGGGCAGACATGACAGACATGTCAGACAGGGAGGGCAGAGGGTCTCTGAAGTGTCTGTCCTCTCGGAGCCACCTTCCTCTGTGTCAGTAACGTTGAGCTCCCTGGTCTCGGGGCAATACAGGGAGACTTCATAGTAGGCTTGCTTGCTTTCTGCTTAACACAATCATAGAGCAAAAAGACCTTATCTGTACTGAAGCAAAAGTGATATGTTATTAGCTTCTTTGTTTTAACAGAGCATTGTAAATCTGAGAAATAATTGCAACTCGTTTTTCCAAAAAACATCTGAGTAGTCTCAGCGCTGTAGTTGCCTGTGGTGAAACTGTAAGAACTTTTACTATATTTTCACAAAAGGACTTAGTTTGGGTGTCCTATGTCATTATAAAAATCTGCCTGTTTTTCTGGTGAAGGGTCAGCCAAAGTTTTAGTTAAGTGGTTCCAAGATGGAAGACACAGAAACCAGTAGGTATAAATTTGAGAGACATTAGGAAGAGATGATGGGGCAATGGAACTTCACCTTATTTAAGACTTGTCCAACTGTCATAACCTAACTAATCCAAGAGTCTCAAGACTAGACTGATTCACTGTATTCAGTGTTACCTCTCTTCCCATATTGGGAAAAAATGTTTTAATGTCAGCATGAGTAGTCTCCCCAGAAACCTATAAAAAATGAGCCGTTGTTACTTTGGACCATCTCTCTGAGCAGAACAGATTTTTAATGAGGAATATATGATTCTACCTCAGAGCCTATGAACTCCCACTTGCCTTCCTTCCCCTCCTTCAGTTACATGAGAAGGTTTGAAGGATGCAAAGTACTTTGAAGTCACTGTTCTGCACTGACTCTAGTATGTGCCCAATGTAAATCTGCAAAGTTTGGATTGTTTTGGGAAAGAAGCCACCACTGCTTTCAATTTTGTGAAATACTATGCAAATAGCTCCTTCTGATCTTGGAGTGGCAGGCCAGTGTGTATTTATTTATCTTCAGGGGTCTGTACTAAGTAAATCTGGCTTATACTTCATTACTGTTTACTGTCCTTTCTGTTGCTGTTTGCCCTCGCATTTGAAAGGAATCTGACAACTGAAAAGTTGAATTTGCAATTGGATTAACGCTATGTCCCACAAAGATAACTGAAGAAATCAATGACAGTTGGGCCTCCCTCTGAGAGCTACATTATATGCTTCATAGGGGCTGCTTTATAAGATTTATTTGTGCATCATCTATAATAACTCTGCTGTGCTGGTTATTTCTTCAAGCACTGACTTGAGGTGTAGCATCTCACACACATAGAAGTTCTGATTTTTAAATTAAATTTAAAAAAAAAATAAGGCATTGAAATTTCTTGCATTTGGAGATTAAGCAAACTTCTATACATTATAAGCAATAAATTAAGCAAGCTGAGAACTGTAAAATGTGTCCTTGATTTTTGGAGGCAGTACCAAATGACAGACTACAAATGTCATTATAACTGAGAAAAAAAATTTCATTTTATTGCTTTCTCATCATACAGGACAATGGAAAATAAAATCTGATAGGAAGACTATTTCAGGACTCTCATAAGCACCAGCAAAGATTGTTTGAAATCCATTTTAATGAGTTCAGATCTGCTATATTTTGTTGAAAATTTTTTCTTATTCGGTAGCATTTCACCTGAGTGTCTGTGTTCTGTTAAACAATTAAATATACCCACATCAGTGGTGAAAACAGAAGTGTATAGAAAAGTAATGGACTTCAAACACACTTTATGATAATTCACTATCTGTTCAAAAGGACAATATATTAAGGACTTTCTTCTTCAAACGTTTAAAAAACCACATCTGTAACTCTCCCTTCCTTCTGCTTAGGAGCAGAAGTGGAGAGATCAGGTCAACACCAGCACCGGTGGAGAACTTCTAGCTCAAACTGTCTAGTAAATAACTGGTGTTAATGTGCCTAGGCAGATGTAATCACTGCTATTGCATGCCCTGGGGTACTTATCATGCCACGTGGAGCAAGGGTGAGTTAAGTCTTGGTCATCAATTCTTCCTTTTTCCTTGATCCTTGTAATTCTTTACTATGTTCACCATAAACATATGCACAGATTCTGCATATATGATTCTTTGTGGATGTTTAAGAGGTAGGTTTGCATGCAGATCTGATCATGCATGAAAAAAAAAGTGTGATGGTGTGCAGATGCAATTACTGTGGGCAGTGAGAAAAGCTTAAAAAATTTCCTCAAAAGCTTAAAATTATCATTCTGACCTTATTTATTGTAATATAAAACAACATGTAAACACTTTAATGATTGAGCTTTCAGGAAGAAAATGAATTTAAAATACTGTTCAACAGCTACAGTTTGACCCCAGAGGAGGGATATGGGAGAGAATAAATCAAACTGAACCCCTGGGTAGAGAGCTTCTTATTCAGACTTTGTTCTTTATTTGATTATTGGTGATACTGCTTTGAAATGTCATCTGATGTTTGGACTATGTTAGTATTTGCAGTCAAACTCAGTAGTTTGGTTAATGGTCAAAATCCAAAGACTGATACACATAATGAAAAATTAGGCTGTATCCCAAAGATGTAACATTTCAGTAAGAAAAAAAAATAATGACATATTGCAAAATTCTCCTCCTTTCCTGACACTTCTGCTCATACAGAAAATAAAGGAGAAATGACATATGAATTATTACTTTTTATAAATTGATTTTGCTTCATGCTAGTGAAATCTTTTTCAGAACCAACTGTAGTTGTGGAAAGTTGTTGCTCCTTTTAAAACCTCAGCTATGTAGCTGTGAGTCGAGGCCAGAAAGGAAAATAAGTAAATTCTTCTGGATATACATGGGATTTTTTGTCTGTCATGAGTGCCTGATGGATTTAGCAAGTTATTTGTCTTTTATGTTCTCTTTTAACAGCTTTCAATGAATTGATGCATACATCATCACTTGGCAATGGTCTTTCTCAAGGAAAAAAAACGCCTTATTTGTGCTCTTTTATATTCCCTTACAATATGGACTTAAAATTAAAACTTAACTTTAGAGTTTTAGCAATTTCCTTTTCTGTATAATTGAAGTAATTTCATGTGTGTTTTTCAAGCACAAAAACATCCTAAAGTCTAATGCTGAAATATTTCTACTATTGCAAACATTAATTATTAGTAAATAATTCTAAGATTCTTTTCCCTCTCCCCACCCTGCAGTAGATGAGTATGTGTATGATAAATGTACTAATAATATACAAAACCTAAAGGAAGGCAGGTTCTCATCTTGATCCAATGGACTTAATTGACATTCATTAATAAATAGGATACTGCAGTAATTTTTCACTAATTTGTATTCAGGGTAGCAGCTTAGAGAATGAAAAATAGTATTTGTTATCTCATTTTTGTGAATATTCTTCCAGAGGCTCTAGATCCAAATTTTCCAAACTTAGGAGCTCTCTATATCTATTTAACAAATTGCTAGTCCATGTCATTTTCAGGAAATCTGTTACATATCATTTCTTAACCCCAAAATGCCACAGATGACACCTTTTTTTTTAGTAATGCATGGAAAAATAAGTGTGTCCATGTCCAAATAATAGCAGGATTGAGCAAAGATTGCTTTCAATACCTTACATTGTATGTCTAGAAATTTGAGGTATTCTTCCACACCGCAATGACTGATCTTGACAAAAGATATATAGCTGACTGCTCATGTAAAAGAGTATTTATTGAAATATCATTGGGAATTTAAAACTATGTCTTTGTTCTGGTTGTCTGGTTGAGGAATAACATTGCATTACACTAATTAAATAACCACCTAAATATAATATTGGATCATAGACTAACATACTACTTCCCCCAAGTGCTAGTATACTGTTTAATATCACTGGCTAGGGACTCATCAACAAACTGTTACTTCAAGAGAGGGGGTTTGTATTCATGGTGATGAATTTCACTGTACTGAACCTTGAGGATTAAGGTTCTATGCTGTATTTGTCACTTTTTTTTTTTTTAATGTACGCTGTACATAATCCTTGAACTAAATTGTGCAAAGCTGTAAAGTCTGCTCACCCTGCCCCATTGTCTATATTGCAGTGGTTACTTTGACAACATACCTGCAGAGCAGAAATAACTGTGGAATAACTCTAAGAAGTTTTCCATTTGAGCTGGTGAGTAAGTGAGGTTGTAGCCACTTGGTTCTCAAGGATAGTCTTCCACATAGCTACTGCCCCTAGAGCTTTGACTTGTTGAAGAATATGGTGCTATTTTGCCCCTCATCCCTTATTCATATCCTGCTATCCTCACTAAAAGAAGGAGTATCGGAGAATCACAGAATATCCTGAAGGGATCCACGGGGACCACTGAAGTTCAACTCCTGGCCCTGCACAGGATCAACCCAAGAATCACACTGTGTAGTACCATTTTGAGTAGTACCATACTCAGTTTAAAACCTCTTGCCACAGATTGCTTCAGCATATAGGATGCTTCACACACAGGTTGAAAGGAGAAGAAAGCTCTGGTAGAGGCTAAAAAGGGGAGGTTATATTTCTGTTTCTAGAACCTTATCTAGCCGTGCTGTGCCACTGATCCTTATTCCAACAGTTGGTCCCCCTATGCTCTTGATAGTGTCCTTTAATTTTCTCCGTATGCTTGTTTTTTATCTTCTCTGCAAAAACAGTATTTCCATGTTGTGACCTTTACTCATATTCAGGAACCTGATCATTCAGTTTACATCACTGAAAAATGCCACCATGCCGAGCTGCTGGATAGAACCAATCTGATTTACTTTTCATCTCAACACATATTCTGTCTGTCTTGGCTTCTTTCTTTGTCTTTCTTTTGTCACTTGCTTCTGATCAAGCATAGAATTAGATTTTTTTTCAGATCTTGCTTCTTGCGTAGAAAGCTGTATCTGACCAATTCCATGAACATGTTGTGTCTTCATATAAAGCTCTACATGTCAGTCTGAGATTGAATTGTATTGGTTTGATAAGTACTGCTATATCTCATCTGATTCCAAAGTGCCATACCACTGTGCCTCAGAATATTCTGCAAGGAAATATGTGTGGTGTTTGGAACTTTTGATCCTTCTCTGAGAAATAGGGAAGCAGTAAAACATATTTTACTGAATAGTCTTCCACTTGCTTGCTATGATTCAATTTAATTTGCTTTTAAAACAGTATCCAGCATTTTGCATAGCCATTATAAAAATATAGCATTGGATCAAACAGCAATGATATTTCAAAAACTACTAAGAAGTTCATCAAGAATTAGGCTTTGTCATTGCTCAGCAAGATTCAGCCTATGTATCAACAAAGAGGAAAAGCAAAGATTGTTTACTCGGTTCTCAGAGATTAGGTAAATCGGAGGAAGAAAATGGGCAAAAATCATCAGATACCATTATCCTGTTCTTTCTTCTGCTTTTTCTGTTCAAGTTGACTGGAACATAGTCAGCTGCTTCACAAAAAATGGAGAACAGTGAAGAGATAGAGAGTGTGAGGTACATTCTAACAGGAAATGAGCTTCAACCTCTTCATCATTTTATAAAAGAAGAAGAATCCAGAAAAGACTGTTTAAAGATTCCTGTTAATGCCAGTTAAAGATATGACATTCTAAATGAGGCCTAAATGTGCAAATTGTGTTAGGAAAATTGAAGTGACCCCCAAGCAGAGAAAACATAAGTACATAAAGCACCTTTGGGGATGGTTATGATGCAGGAAAATATCATTCAAAACCTTTTTATTCAAAGAGTGACTCAGAAGGTTATCTATGTAGACTCTCACTAAGACATATAACTTTCAGTAAGACCTCTGTAATGTAGCTCTACTTGAGAGTTAAAATGTGCTTAAAACGTTTGCTTATCAACAAGCCCTTTGAAATAACTTCATAAATATGTAGTGGTACAAAATCAGTATCTTTATTGCCATCTGAACTTGCCTCAAATTAAATAAATTATATATAAAGAGGGTTTCCCGAGTAGGAAAAGAAAAAGAAGAAAAGCACCCTTTTTCCACTCTACAATAATTAAAAGAATAAACTTATAAATATCAAAGGACTATGAGTACTAAGTGGAAAAGATAACTAATCAATTAAAAGAACTCTAAGTAAAGATGAATTGCCAGGATGACCTCTATGCACCGCTCAGGTATATTCACAGTATGGTGTCATATCTGCCATCTTCATTATCTTTGTTTTTCGTGACCCTTCAGTTATATTTCAGGATTTAAACTGAAGTTTCAGCTGCCAATCAAGAGGCAGAGGTTAATAGATACTGAAATGTTAGAAAATATGGGAATTGTATGCAAAAAGTCTCCAGAGGGAGAACAGAGCTGAAGCCAGGAAAATGGAATTATGTTTGATCAGCAAAGGAAAAACTAAATAGACAGTACTTGGGAAAAAAAAATCTAATTTGTAGAGTCAGAGATGAGAAGGAGAACTAAATATAAAATGTTCTATAGCTGTATTTTACAAGTCAGTGTTAAAATCAAAATGGTATTATGAAATAAAAACAAAAAGCTAGGTAGATTGTGTTTGTCCAATCAAGGGAAAAAATGGAACAGAGCAGGCAATGCAAATGTGTTGAGCTGGGAGGGACCCACAAGGATTGTCAAGTCAAACCTTTAGCTCTGCACAGGGCTGTCCCCAGGAGTCATATCATGTGCCCAAGAGTATTATCCAAATGCTTCTTGAACTCTGCCAGGCTTAGATCTATCAATTTACGAAGGAAATGCACAGGGGGTAAGCATAATGAAATATGAGAATGATAGAAACTACTGCACATTAACAGACATGTGTGAGATGGTTTAGCTTGTCAAAGAATATGTGAATTAACTCAAAAACTAAGAAGTAAAAAAAAAAAATCTTTCTGTTGCACAGAACACAAGAAATCATGTTCAGGAAAAATTTTTGTAAAGATAAGAAAGTCGAATAAAGTATAAAAAGAACTGATCAAGGAGATATTTAATTAATATCTAATTGATGTCAATTTAAATTAAAGAATAGCAAAATAAGACCTATATTTTTATATGTAATTGATAGAAAATGTGTGATAACATGTATTTTATTCCTCTACAGAACTGTTGAAGCTAGTGATCTCTAATGATCTCTATAAAATGTGGAATGTATCAGACACAAGCATGAAAAGTGGTTGAGCTCAGACTAAATACTAAAACTGTCATGTTTTACTGCAAACTGTAATTGCTTGAATTCAGCCAGAAGTAAATGCCAGTATTTTTCCAAATATCAACACATTTTTTTATTATTATTTCTCCAGTAAATTTTTCTCCTTTTTTACGTTTGGGCAAATTAGTTTCTTCCTGTAAAAAGTATTTTCAAAAAGCAATAACAGAAGGAGTACCTCTACATTGGAAATATTCAGTGCTCAACTGTGAGATCACAAAATGAAAGAGTGGGTTTTGACAGGAGAACTGGAAGATTACCTGTGGCATTGATAAGCAAAGAGAAAAGAAGAGGGAGAGAGGATGAAGAACCAGGAAAGAGATGACTAGGAAAAATTGCTCACTCTCACTTTCCAAAAATCATGCCGCCTTAACAGCAAAGCAGGCTGTTTCAGCAACAATGAGGAAGACCTGAGGTCAGCACTTAGTTATACACTCAGTGTGTTTTCACGTCCTATCCTTTTCCAAGTCCAATGCTATTTCCTGCTTCTGATTACATGCTCTGTCATCCACTAGTCAGAACACCTAATTTTGTTCAATAATATTCTCTGCACATTGCCCAAGATGTGAATAGGGTATCCATCATCTTTTTTGAGCCAAGCCCCAGCAAACTACTGCATAGAAAAAGCAGCCCTCCTTCCTCAAGGAGAAGGATCATAAAAATCAAAGGGTTTAACACACAGAAACTTGGGGCAGGGATCTCCTCAGACTTTTCACCTAGAAGGCTGAGGAGGTGTGAGCCTCTTGGGGAACAAGTTAATGCCTTTTTTTGTTTCCTTATCTTGCAGAAATTGAAAATAACCTAAGTGCATCAAACATGTCTTGCGATACAAGCAATGTGGGTTATCCAAACTCTTTCAGCATCACTCAACAGATGCACAGTGATGTTGGAAGGTCATCGGACTGCTACAACAATAAATAGTCAACTCAACCGAGTAGAAGACAAGCCTTTTCCTTACCCTGAAATACAGCTTAGGTAACTATGAATGAAAATCCTTGGTGCATATGTACCAAAAATCATTTAATTTTTGGAGGCAGGAAAGGGAGAGAAAGACCAAAGTTTGCTGAAATATATATATTTGCTACTGGTAGATTTCTTGGCAAAAAAACCCTCAGTATCTCTATAGAATAGAGAAGCAACTACAGACTTGAAATTCTGCCTTTGTATACTCACACAAACGAATTTGCTTCCAGATTCATGGAAAATGGGAGATGAGGTAATTATAATATTTTGGATCAAATTTTTAAATGTTAGCCTCAACAAAAAAACCAAGATCAAAGTCTTTTTTCTTAAGCTCAACCATTTTCTAATTCCTTAAAAAAGTTTTGCACTCATGTGCAAAGTATGCTAAGTATGGTAAAGGATGAGAGATTTTTTGCTGCTTATGATTTTTGTATTATTCATCATTTTCTACTGACATTTACAGAACACAACAGGTCTGTATTTCACTTTTCTTTTAAAGTGCTTCTACTTCTCCCCAATTTCAGCCTGAATTATGAAGTTCAGCCTACTGGGTTCACTGACCAAAACTGCAAAAGTTCCACAAGCAGCAAATAAATGGACTTATCATATTGGTTTTTCCCCCTGTTAGTCCCATTGAATAATACATATTTCCATTCACAGGCTTAACATATTTAAATCTGATGAGTCTCTTCAGAGCCACTATGAAGAATGTGCGTTCATGGTAAGGACCATTCTTGCAGCCCAATGAAAATGTAATATTATATAAAATCAGATTTAGTAATATCTTAAATACAGAATAACAATGACATTGTTTGCAAGCTGCTGGGGTGGGTCACAGTAACTCAAGTGACCTACTTTCTCTAGATACATGTGCATGAGTTACAAGGCATTAGTTTGAGAAGCAAATTGGTCTTTAATTCTTTTTCTGCTTCTACTATTTGCAGATAGAGAGGTGTTTAAACTAGATTGTGAAGACTGTAGTAGAAACTCTTGCCTGGGTTATAATCATAATACATGCCTCTAAAGTAAACCTACATTAGCACAATTCAATGTGGTAATTAAGATAGAAAAAGGCAGTACTAAGCTGCATGGCCTATCAGATTCCTTGGGGAGAAAAAAAAGGACTGACGTGACTTGAAATGTGTCCAAAGGGTTTAGTTAGCCTCCAATTAGCTGCAAACTTCCTCTATTAAAATGCATAACAAATACCAGCCTACATGTCCCTGAACCCTTCATTATTTAAGTCCTAATTTCAGATGGTTCTTTTATTATAGCATATATCCCAAAAGCTAGCATTGACTTTTAATTACACTATACAATCATTGCTGTCAGGTGATAAGTTGGAAGGACAGAAGATTCCAGGGCACATCTGGGTGAACCACAAGAGCTCAGCTCTTAACTAAGAGCAAACAACAGTACAAAGACAAACAGTCTAGGAACAATCAACAATAAAATGAAGGCCAAATGGTCATTTCTCCTTAACCTTGCATTTTACACTGGCCATGAAATTGAGAGTTTATTCAGGCAGTCAGGCAGAAGTATAGGGAGTGAGAATCTGAAGTGTAACAGAATATGAATTGTACTCAACTTGCACTCCCTCAAGTTCAAAAAGGACACTCACATCTCTTTTTCCCACTTTGCTGTTATTGATCTCTTATTAGAAGGGTCATGTTGGGGGTTGTTTGCTGAAGATTTCCCTACTGAGCCAATATAATTAATATATATTGGTTGGGGGTAGTGCATCAGGCAGATTTTAACTTCTGTCTTTCTCTATGGTTTAATGCAGTTTAGTATCTCCTGGCCACTGTCCATTGTAATTATCTGTGTGAGACTTTAAAGGTGGGTGGAAACAGTTGATTAGATTTTGAAATTAGAAGGTGCTCATATGTCCTTGAGATTGCTGGGTGGGGGTGACTGCTGATTCGAAGTTAGAAGGACATAAAACCACCATTAGTGAAAAAGCCACTGTTAGAAGATCACAGAGCAAGTAGGAAGCTTGTTAAGAGTGTCACCCTGCTAAAAGTGAGAGGACTGCCATCAGGAAAAGCAGAACTGGGAGAAGACTTACACAAGTACTACAACTGGATGAGGAGTATTACCTTCATATTTTATTTGTTTATTATCTACATTTATGGGGGGAAAAAGCCATTTAGGATGGAAGAGCTTGTTTAGCTTATTTTGAGCTCCTTTTCTTTCATGGACAAAACAGGAGTAGTTAATGTAGAGTCATAGAACCACCGAATTATGGAATCATAGAATCACAGATTCATAGAATGGTTTAGCTTGGAAGGGACTTCAAGCTCACCTAGTTCCCACCTGCCATGGTCAGGGACACCTTCCACTATACCGGGTTGCTCAGAAGCCCATCCAACTTGCCTTCAACACTTCCATGGATGAGCATCTACAACTTCTCTGGGCAACCTGTTCCACTGTCTCATCACCCTCACAGTAAAGAATTTTTTCCTAATATCTAATCTAAACCTGTGATCTTCCTGTTTGAAGCCAATTCCCCTTGTCCTGTTACTACATGCTCCTGTAAATAGTCTGTCTTCATCTTTCTTGTAGGCTGCCTTCAGGTACTAGAAGGCCACAGTTAGGTCACTCCAAAGCCGTCTCTTTTCCAGACTGAACAATCCCAGTTCTGTCAGCCTTTCTCTGCAGAAGAGGTGCTTCATCCCTTCAATCATCTTGGTGTCCCTCCTCTGGACTGCTTCAACAGGTCAGTGTCCATATCCAACCAAGAGTATACTGCTCATAAATTTATTCTTCTGCCTGATGTGCACCCTTTCCCCCTTTCACAAGTGCAATCTGTAGTGCTTAATATTCAGCTGAAGTTTATGATATGAAATAACCCTCTTTTTTCTTTCCTGTCTCTATGTGTAACAATAACGTCTCCACTGCATAAGCATGTCCCAAATATAAGAATTGTAAGAAAAGAGAGAATTTTCCATTTTATTACAATTACACATATTTTGAGGATTTATCCAGAATGATCTAAATGTCTTATCAAAATCAGATATTTCTTGCTTAAAGGGAAAAGCACACAAACATGTAAACCCACTTCTTTTCTTTCCTTAAATGTTTTCAAAATAAAATCCACATTTTCTGACAGAAATTAATATTTCTAATTGCTATTTTTTCTTCTTTCTAATTGCCTCTTTTTCTTCACTTTAATATGGCTACATTTGTGATATTCACAACCAAACCTGGGGCAACATTCTAGAATTTTTTTCCTCCCAGTTTGCTTAAAAATTTCCTGGGAAATTTAGTTATGTTGGGATTCAGTTATAAAGGGCAGACATATTTTAAAGGGACTAACAAACACTAGTGTATCTAAGGTGAAAGAAGCCTGAAAATGTAATAAGCGAACGTCAGTACAATGTTAGGTCAAAGGTTGCAGTAATGTCAATTCAGTACTGCTACAGTTAAGCACAGGCTGTATTTCTGTGCTGAATTTGGCCATGAAATATACAACAAAAGCAGAAGAAGGGTCAGAGGAAGCTGTAAACTAATGACATTATACCATTCAAAGCTTATGCAGCCAGTTGGAATTCCTAGCTTGAAATGTCTAACTATGTGAAATTAGTACCATTTTTTGAATACTTAGAGGTAGGCAAATGTCAGATATAAGCTTAAAAAAGAGATGCCAAGTTATGGTGCAGGATGTTATTAAGGGAGTGAAGAGCTGAATAAATATCACTATAATACTGAAACATTGCTGAAACATAATTACTTATGTTTTTTAAGGTTAATATTCTCCTTTCTAGGTAAACCGAACAGGAATGAGTTGAACTAAAGCCTAAGGTAAAAGTCAGTCACTGAATAATATTGCTTTTCTGATAGTGGAAATTCAGTGTGAAATGTTTATTAATCATGCCATTAACCCACAGCAGACAGGTACAAATCAACAGAATGAATACAATAGTACCTTCTGTTTACAGATGAGGTACAACCTCAATGAACAACAAGTCGATCGTGGTGATTAGAGACAAAGGTATTTTTATAGAAAACTTCTTAAAACAATGCATTTAGGTCAAGCCCTGAGAGGCAAGCATTACTCAGAAATAAGAAGAGAGTGATCTGTTTAAAACACTGCAGAAACAGCTTTCTCACAATGAAATTGGCTATCACAGTGTAGGTCAGGGAAAGTAGTTCTGGCTGCACTGGTCCCCATAGTCACATTGTCTTCTCTTAACAGTGTTGGTGACTAAATTAATCTGAAGCTCAAGGTAAAAATTTTTATGTTTTAAATAATTCAGAGCATAAAATACCAACAGAGCAACTGGATGAGCTGTTAGCCTGTCTTGGTTTGATAGAGCCAGACTTCACTGGCAGAACCATGGACCAGCCTGCAGAGCTTCAGAGTTAAGCCTATAAACGCATGTAAACATGCAACAATTCAGTTGTGAAGAGAATAAGTGACTTGAATCTGGTTGAAAAACAGCTTTGGCTCTTCATCTAATGACTGTAGCCTCTGCCTTAGAAGGATTTCCTCTGTAAACCTGATCTGAGGGTTTCTTCTTTTTCCCCAAGAAGTGATGATGTATAATTATTAATTAACAGCACTAAATTCAGTTTAACAGGAATGTTCTTATACCATACCATTCTTTTCTTTTTTCTCATTATTCAGATCTATCCTGTGCTTCATAACTGATGTTAGCATTCTTTGTATAATTGATCATCTAGAGAAAAAAAAAATAAATTAATTAATTAATTAAAAGGTTCTGAAGGTTCTGAGAGCTTAACTTAAGTTCTTGAAGTTCCCTAATCCTTCATCCAAATATAGGACTCTTGTTAAAAAAAAAAGCGAAAAAAACTATGAGGGATTATTTTGTACATGTCGTTATTGGTGTACCACTAAACTAATAACTCAGTAGACATTTTGTAAGAGCATCCGTTCTTATATACAGACTAAACAACACCAGCTCACTCAGCCACTCCTCTGGGCCTGTGCCCCAGACCTTTACCAGCTTTACATGTTCTAACACAAAATTTTTATTCATAACTTTAGAATATATTTACATAATTTTATTCCTCATGTAGTTTTTTATTACTCATCTTCTTTCTGAATCTAACAAATAAATCTGAGAAGTGAATATATTCAAGCTTCATTCAACAGTGTGAAACACCTTTTAGTGAATTTGCTTGTTTATTGACCACCTAGTAATATGAGTGCAGCTAATGGTCCTTCAAAACTGTTTTGTGCTTAGTGATTAGTCATTTTTGCCAACACAACAGGAAAAACTTTCAAGGTGGCTGGATTTTCAAGGTTTAGATTATTGCTGCTGTTGAATACTGGACTCTTTTTATGTATCTCAAGCTGGACATGGGGCAATTGACTTGACATTTTCTTTTTATGCTGTCTGATTTTAAACTGAAAGAGGACAATTGTGAATGCAAATTCCAACCAACGGGGTGTTGACCTCATGAGGGCAGTATGATTTGTAACTCACACAATCTTTCCCATCTGCATCAGCTTTGTGTACCGCATAGCAGAAACAGGTTCATCTTGTTGGAAAGCAATTTAAAAGTTTTCTCCATAAGGCAATCATATTACCATATTTATTTGTTGCTGTATTTTCTCTGCCTTGTTTGCCCTACTCGCATCTATTACAGCTGGTAATGCTGGAGAAGAAGGCAGTGGTGGAAGGGAACAAAAGGGGAGGGAGCAGGAAAAAAAGCGCTGTGACATTTTTACTTTCTTTCATCAAACCCTGTGTATTGGGGGTTAAGATATATTTTGCTGAATTAATTTTGGTGTGCTTTGATGCATCTATAATCCTAGCACACTTATCTGAATAGGTATTATGGAATAAAAAACTGATTGTTTTCTGCTTAGCCAAGTGAACCACAAGAAAAAGAATAATTCTACAACCCTAAAGGCAATGGTCTGAAGAAAAACAAATAGCAGAAAGTAATCATGGAAGGGGCAAAAGGGGATCAGCCATTCTGCTAAAGAGGAAGCAGCCTACAATTAAATATCTATTCATTGGTAATGAATGCCAAATAACATTAAATAAGCATCTAATAGAATATTAATCACATACTTAAGGCCTAATTGCAGTATATTAACAATTAATGGCCCTTTAAGAAAGTAGATATACTATGGCATGCAGTAAGTGTTAATTGAAAGCTATTTCAGGAACTTTATTTTGCTTTTCTTAATTGGACAGTGACACAATATATTGTTACTGAGCCCTTCTGTCCTTATGCTTTGAAGTAGTGCAGTTGCCTCTATGCTGCAGAATGCAGAAGCAGATTTCAAACAGTTCTGTTCTAGGAAAAAAAATCGAGTGTTTTTCATATATATGGCCTACCATAGTCATTACTGATAAGCACATGGGCTTCTTGTCAAATAACTTTAGTTCACTCTACGGGGATGATGATTTAAGAGAGTTACTCTACTTTTAAACCTATCTTCCAGCAATTATTCACCAGAGCCGCATAATCCCCCTAAAAGTTACTGAAACTAGAATGCACTTGCAATGATCTGCAATCATAGCTCTTTATCAGAAACTATAAAAGAAAAAAAGAAGAGAAAATTTAAAAAATAAACAAACAAACAAACAAAAAAACAGAAACGAAAAAATCAGTAAAACAGCCTTTAAATCAAAGCAGGGGAAAGAATGGAGAAGAAAGTGTAGAGGGAACAAAATGATGATCCAGTAAAAATAAAGTACATGGGGCAATTCTTCAGTTTTCTCTAAGCTAATTAACTCAAGTCAAGGGTTCCCCTGGCAAGATATAAGATTTCCTGTGGAATTTTTGAAAGTCTCTTTCCTCTCAGAACAGGTTTTCACATACACAAACTGTCCCCAGTGTGACTCCACTCCAGGGGGTTGTGTTACATCCAAGGTGACAGACCAGTGCTGCCATCAAAAGAAGTTGCCTCATTTTTCCCCTTTGTCCCTGGTTCTCATCCTCTCACTGTTCATTCCTGTGCACCAGCAAAATTGTTCATGTAGAGTACTGAACAGCTTGGACACCTGATCCAGATCAAATAGCATGAGAGGAAAATTAGTTCTAACTCAGGTCATTTCCCCAGTGAAATTAAAAAAATCCCAAAGGTTCTTCATCTAATGTGGCATGACTAGATTTTTATAGTGACAGACTGAAGCTCAGACTTCAGACTAGACATCCTGTGTTCCCCATTTATTTCAAAAAAATAGTTGGTATAGCACCAGCTCTCTGCAAATGCTTTCTGACTCACCGTGTTTCTTGTAGCAAAGGAACAGAGCATTGAATGGCCAAAAAAAATGGCCAACACAGTTTGTGTTGGGCATAGGCTACTCCTCATGTGGAAGACATAGATTGAAACAATGTGCACTAATTCTAAGACAATGTATTTTTTTAAGGGTTTATCACTGCATTTCCAAAAGTTAGGATCTCACCCACTTGAAGAATTTTTTTTTTGTTTCTCTGTTTTCATTATGGTGGCTGTCACATTTTTACTTCAGTGACAAAAATATACTCAAAGAAGTCCTTGCCACCAATCTCATGCATATGGATCTGTAAGTGAATGACTAAAATGGTGATATTCTAAAGTGGAAATTTATTGCCAGGGGATCTGTGATCATGAGGTGGTCATGAGTTTACGCTTTGCTTAGAAATGCTGGCCGCATATTCTGCCACCACTTTGGGACCTATTACAAGATATTTTAAACTACTTTCCTTACATTTAGATTTGGGTTCTGGACTTGTTTCATTTAGTGTTTCTTAAATTATTTACTATATATATATATAGAGAGAGAGAGGGAGAGAGAGAGAGAGAGATCTTTTTCTCCAAGATAAGTTCCATATTAGATTAAACACTGAGGTGGTGTGAACAAGTGTAATTACTGGAATGTCAGGAGCATCATACAGATTTGCAAATATGCTTTTTTATTCAACTTAGTTAGTAATTGTAGAATGTATAATTCCTCAAAAGTTCCTCCCAATATTTTTAGCCTGTTTCATTACTCTGAATACTGTTTTGGTTTTACAAATTTTAAGTGTTTTTCTGGACTAATAGATAAATTACTTGCACAGTAAAAGACACTGGAACATGCAAATCCATTTGGGGTTTGGGGCTTTTTTTTGTGTGAATATTTGTAGTATCCAACACAGGTGTAAAATAAATCAAAGATCAACCAAATATAAACATACATTAAAACCTGTTCCTAAAATTGTGTTTTAAATTTTAGGCCAAAAAAAGTGCTTATGCACAAAGTAGTACACTACATTTTACATGTATTAGCATAAAATATTTATATTTATATTACTTTATTTATATGCTATTATTTATCTATACTGGTAAATTGTACATCCTGTGAAACTGGGGGAAGTTTCAGGAAGCTAGAAAATGGAAAATACAAAAAATGTATCAAATTATTTTATGTTGCAAGCCACTTCATCTCTACCCTCTGGCATCAAACGTTGAGAAAAAGTGTCTCTACCCACTCAGGTTTCTGACTGACCACCATAGCTTATTAAATTAATTTTTAAGGTTTTAATTTCTCCTTATCACATATTCTAAAGTATATATTTTTTGCATATTCAGTACAAAAATATTAACATCTTGCTCTTTCTTATGGAAAAATATGAATGTTTATGTCACATCTGAAAACCACATTTAAAGTGTGTCCCAGTCTATAGAAAACAAGAATACTCATTGACATATTATCTATTTATTCATCAGTTTATTCATCTCGGTTGCATTGTCTCTATCCATTTGACCTTTTTTTCTTTTTTTTTTTAAATCCAGTTCCTACTGTAAAGCAAATTTCTGTGAGCGCGAAATGACACCACAGGAACATGGTATAGGTTGATCTCTGCTCCAGGGAGCTCAGAGAATAATGACTAATTGGAAAGTAGGTGAGGTAAAACAGGAGTGATGGGGAAGATGCAGGGTAACTTTTCTCTGATTTTGATGAGGAAAAGTTCACAATAAATTAAAGCCGACTTGTTCAGATGCTCTCTACCTGCCTCTACCTGTACCTACTGATGAAGGATTAAATAATAATAATAATAATAAAAAAGTCACTTTCCAAAGGAGCTAGGAATTTATTGTGGGAATTTGCATATTTCCGTACTAAAAGCGACAAATCCAATCTTAGAATTCAACTATAGGCAACTACTTTCATTCCCGTTAAGTACCTTTAAGATTTTAGCTATCAATCTCTTCCATATTTCTTCACTGTAAAAAACATATGACATATATAGATACACACTATTATAAATACCTACTAAGATATGAAAGAATATTTCAGCAATGTTTTCTCTTTATACTTCTATCATTTTCATTACAGGTGTAAAAAATATTTCTAGCTAAAAAGTCCAGACAATGATGTTTACCTGTAGTATAGTGGCTCCATACAGCCAGTAGTGGTGAATTATTCTATACAACAACAAAAAATGGCAAGGTCAGTCACGTCAGGTATCAAATTCATCTGTCATAAATGTCCTCTAGATCAATGTCAATTTCATTCTACCAAGTATTGTATATGACCCCAAACAGTCTGCCCCACTGCTTCAGCTGTTTTTTGTTATAATTTTTTAAAAATCTTGAACTAGGAATACAACTGCTTTATCTTTTTTCTCTCTGAAAGTACGCTTTTTACTATGTTCTGTTTTCATGTAGGTAAAATCTTTTGCTGTTTACAATAGGAACTCATGATAACTGGAAGGTCTTGGAGATTCCAGCTACTCT